TGGTTGGACCAGAGAGAGTGGTGAAAAGCAATGAGATTCTGTATCTGTTTTGAAGGTAGAGCCAATAAGATTTTCTGACAAAACAGAGTGGGGTATAAGAGACATGAGGAAAATCAAGGATGACCTAGGCTTTTGCACAGCAAATGGAAGAATGATCTTGCCATCAACTGAGCGGGGGAGATTGTGAGAGAATAAAGAGATTTAAGGAGAAACCAGTTCAGTTTTAGCCTCACTGAGTTTGAAATGAGTGTGTATTACAGTCCCTGACTCGTGATGGTCCGACTTACGATTTTTCGACCTTATGATGGTGCGAAAGTGATACGCATCAGTAGAAGCCACGGAATTTTGAACTTGGATCTTTCCGAGCTGACGACATGCGGTATATGATGCTCTCTCGTGATGCTGGCCAGCGGCACTGAGCCGCATGCACGCCCAGTCGGCCCAGCAATCACGATGGATACTACACAGTCTGTGTACTGGGTTGCCAGCATTTTTGGGATTTTGTGTTTTTTCGCATCCCATCATATCTACAAAAATGCCCATCTGTGTCTCCTGCTTCTGGAGAGAAGAGAAGGAAGGCAATTACTGTTGAGATGAACAAGATGACTGCTCAGCCATAGACCAATGTAAGTGTTCTGAGCCTGTTTCAGGCAGGCTAGGCTATGATATTCCACAGGTTAGATGTGTATTCAACGCACTTCAACTTACTGGGGTTTTATCGGGGCAAACCCCCATCGTTAAGTCAAGGAGCATCTGTATTAGTTATTCAAGAGACGCTGCTGCACAGGCAGCTGGATACAGGAGTCTAAGGTTCCCAAATATAAGAAGTTATTACAGATTTAATCTGGGATTCTTATCTGACCCTGTGTCTTTTCAAGGGATAAACCTGGGTCACAAATTTAAATATTCTTTTAAAGGGCAAATGATTCAATACAATAGCAGAACTAAAATGGTGTGTTAGGTAGTGCTGTCTTACTCTCTAGGGACATTATTATCTATCCGGTGAAAAGCAGTTTGTCATTAGCACTGACATGACCTCCCAGAAAATACCTGGCACCAAACTGCAGACATTCCAGAGACAACTGTACATTTAAATTCACACCTCTGCCCTTACCATCCCGGCTCCCACCCCCCGATTCCACTTTTACTGAAGTCAGGTTTTGGCACTGCTGCCCCCAACGTCCTCTCACCACATAAGGTAATATGGCTTATGTGACACACACCCAGCAGTCATGTTAAGAGCCTTGCTCAATGCTGTTTACTTCTGCCTTCTCAACCACTGAATCTTCCTCACTCCTATTTTACAGGCCACAAAGCTGGCCTGATGTTGAGTTTTTTCCAATTGCAAATGAGAAAGTCTTACATTTGATACTTAGGATCTAAGTTTTATACTCAGTATATATTTTATATTTAGTGTACATATTTTGGAGATTTTTTTCTTTTTTTAATGTGCTGCCAAAGAGAGTGCTGAGATGATTTTTTTAAACACCTAACATCAGCAAGCCATAACACAGCTAATGAAATCTGAACATAAGGAGGCAGAAAAGGAAAGATGAACTTTCAGTAAATGTGGGTTTCCATTAATTAACCCAACACAATGTAAATTAAGGGGGGAAAAAAAGGTTTTATAACATATTGCAGAGATCAAGACATGACTACCTAATAAAGACAGGGCCATACCTCTCAACAGTTCAGAATCATATTGTGTAGTGAATAGTAAAAACTATTTGCTGATGGGGAAGACTGAATCCATGATACCAAGAACCAAATGCAATCAACCCTTGGCCCTAAGAACCTATTGGAAACTCTGGAGTGGGTAGGAATCAGGACTTAATGAGTAAGAAACTCTTTTGTAAATGAAACAAGACCAAATCCAATATTGGTCCTGCTGTTAGGAGCTTTCGGTCCACCTTTTTTTTTTTTTCTTAAAGATTTTTATTGGGGAATTGGGGGATGGGAACAGCGCTGGGGAATTGGGGGAAGGGGACCAGACAAGTTGCTGTCCTTTTGTTCTTCAGTCTAGTTGTGGAGGACGTTGCTTCACTGGCCCAAGTTGGCACCACCATTGCTCTCTTCCCGGACAAGACAGATTAGTCGCCGGCTTCTGGATGGCCGCTCACTGTGGCTGCTGGCTACACACGCTGGCTGCTGGCTACACACGGTAGCCCATGGCAACCCACTGCAGCAGGGTCTGCAGCCTACGCCATCGCCAGCAATTCCCGGCAGCCCAGCTCCAGGTTGAGCTGTTGTTCAGCATCTTAGCTGTAGAGGGCAGCGTCACTGGCCCTCATATGTGGGATCCGAACCAGGGCCCTCTTGCGTCCCAAGCCAGTTCTTAACCATCGCACCACTCGGCCAGCCCTCGATCCACCTTTAAAATGAACTCACAGCTGGGGCCGGCCGAGTGGCTCAGTTGGTTAAGAGTGTGAGCTCTGAGCAACAGGGTCGCCGGTTCGATTCCCGGCCCAAGCTGAGCTGCCACTGAGCTGCCAACAGGTGGCAGGATGGCTCAGCTGAAAGAGAGAAAGAAGAAAGAAAGAGAAAGGGAGGGGAAGGGAGGGAATGAACTCACAGCTATTAGAATTCGAAGAAGTACAAGAATGGTTATTCAAAAGAAGAAAATATGTGGAAAGAAGGAAAAGGTGGCAAGCACCAAGAAGACAGAGTAGCCAAAGACAAGAAATAACAGCCATAAAGACCAAGTTCTATTGATTGGTCTAACTTGTGGGTTTTGAGGAGAGGAGTTCTTATCCTGTGATCCACTAACTTGAAGAAACAATGAACCTCTGATTCCTAAAAGATTCTATGACCCCCAAAAGAGGTTAAGAATCATGGCAGTGTCGGGCTGGCTGAGTGGCACATTGGTTAGGAGTTGGCTTGGGACGCCAGCTCTGAGCAGTGGGGCCCCGGTTCAGATCCCACATGAGGGCCAGTGACACTACACCCTCTACAGCTAAGATGGTGAACAACAGCTCGACCAGGAGCTGGGCTGCCGTGAGTGGCCTGCGATGGCGTAGGCTGCAGTGAAGCTGCCGTAAGCTACCATGAGTGGCTGGCAGCTGGCGTGAGCTGCTGTGAGTGGCCGTCCAATGGCCGGCGAGTGATCTGCCTTACCGGGGAAGAGCACAATGATAATACCAACATGGGCAAGTGAAGCGGTGTCCTCCACAACTGGACTAAAGAACAAAAGGACAGCAACTTGTCTGCTCCCCTTCCCCAATTCCCCAACGTTTTTCCCCTCCCCCAATTCCCCA